GAAAGTTTTCTCTCGTGATCGGGAGGGGTAATTAACTATAGGGGCTTGCGCCTATAGGAAACCAGAACTCAGATCATAAAGTCCTCACAAAATGAGGGCGAAATCTCTGGGTAGTGTCTTATCTACAAACCCATCTGCCTTCCAAAATTTACCTCGGAACTTAGTTCGTTAAAACTCCCTCGCCGAATAAGAAAAGCGCGGCGGGGAGGCCGGGGCCGAATTTTCGGAGCCCACACAAACCAATGGTCCACCATAGCAAGAAAGTCCAAACTTCCAACCAAACTCCTCCAGCAAATGCTCCCAAATCAGCCAACAAACATCACCCTAGCTCAAGAAGAAGGATACAAATGGAGTGAAACTTGTGTAGAGAAGAAAGAGGTAAGAAGCACAGACGAAATAGAGAAGAAGAAGAAGTGGACAAAGCTCTCAAGCTTTTCCAAGAAGAAGAAAATCCTTAGGTTTTTTAAGAGACTAAGCTCAATCAAATTCAACAACCTCTTCCTTTAAAAATCATCTTCTGTATATAGGCAAGAGAGGGGAACCAAACAACCATAAAACCTTCCAAATAAACCAATTAGTTTTAGGGAAATGAAAGGCCAACATCCACCACGTCAGTCCCCAAACGGCACGGCAAAACAGAGCAGAAGGCTCATGGGAACCAAGCAGGAATTCCAAGGAATCAAGCAGACAGCTGCGGGAACCAAAGGGGCAAAAGCACGGGAAATCACCCAGCACAAGAAAATGAGAAGAAAAAAGAGGAGGAGAAAAGACAAGTCCACTCCAAATTGAATCCTTGAATTAAAGCAAACCTTTATGGAATAATGAGCTAGGAAGCTGAATAAATCTCCCAATAAATGAACTAAACTTCAGCTCAACATTAATGAGCTAACAACTTAGAGAATAAAGCTCAACACCAATAAACCACAACCTCCCAACATCATCTTCAGCTCAAACTGAGAACCATAAGCCAACCCGAGAACCAGCAGCAGCCCAAGCAACCCAACAATCTCGTAAACCAAAGGTCTATCAAAGCCCAAGCACAACCTACCATGATTATTGGATGCTTTCCGATCATTGGATAGCTAAAAAAAAATATAAAACTAAATTAAAAACTAATGTTCAATGCTTGATAAATAAAATACAAAAATTATGATTGCATCAGCTAGCCTAATTTAACACAACCTCTGCTAAATCCAAGACCTGATTTAAGTCTAACACATTAATCAATTCATTGATTTCCATTCAAGCCAAAGCACAATCTTTTTTCTATAGATATGAGTCATATGACCTTTAAGTTAAAACTTTAACCATTTATTTCCTTCAACACTCCACTGAACAAAGGGGGAAAATTACCTAGCCAGCTTTTCCAAACAAAATCAAATCCGCCCTATTTCCTAATCATAACTTAACGCAGTAAAACCCAGCAAAAAAACTAACAATATGCAATCAATCAAACCAAGCTAAACAACCATAACTGAGAAAACCATAAATTCAACCTGCCGACATTACATTTCTCACAATGAATCATACTCCAATTGTTTAGACATTGATAGATGTGCTAATGAGATAGCAGATAATGAGATAACATTTGATCTGCTTCAACAACAACTAGCTTATTGTTATCACCTTTTCAAGTCTGAAACTCTTTAATGTATTATTACTTCAACTATTTGAAGTAGAGAGCATTTCATTCCATATAATTTCAATTGTTTGATTTAGTTATGCTATAATGATCAAGTTCTTGTTTATATATTTGTTTATGACATCGACCTTTTTCCATGTCAGTTTCCATTGTTTCTCTTATCCAATTTGTCATGAGTTAATATAGCATTTATCATTTAGTAGGCTAATTTATTTATTTGTTTTTTTAAGAGGAAATTTATTTATTTGTCTTGGGGTAATTTATTTATCTTTTATTTGTCCTCGGATAATTTTGCATTTGAAATAAGGTCTGCAATTATAAATAGTAGCCAATTTCAAGTAATTCAGATTATGCTGGTATGATCAATAGAAAATAAGAATTTCAGCTGTTAAGAGTATTTCATCCCCTTCCCCATTCCTTAGGATTGTTTTATGTAATCATAGTTGTGTAATGCAACCATCTAGCAATATAATGATGTGACCTATTTACTGATTCAGCATGTCCTCATTAAATTGAGTGACGTGACATATACTGATCCCCCCACCCCCCCACCCCCCCCCCAAACCCCCACCCCCCACCAAAAAAAAAAACACATACACACCCTGAAATGAAGGTAACTTAAACATTTCAAATCAGGAGAATAATCTTTGAAAGGAGTTTTTAATATGATGAACATTGTGTACCCCTGCTAACTTTTATATGGCCACTTCTTTGAGGCACATGATAAGTCCCTATGAAGTTCCAAAAGCCACTTCTGATTTTAAAAAAGCCATGTGAACAATGCGAGAAGAGAATATACATATACACACACACAAAAATTGATATATAGACAAGATTAGAACCAGCATGGTCAAAATCTAACCTCCGTGTCTTCATCTTCTTCGTCATCATCTGTCTCATCAGCACCACTTCCACTGTTGCTTTCTTCATCTTCAGTATCTTCTTCATCCTCATCCTCAGAAATTTCTAGCCATTCAGATTCAGAAGCCTAACACAATCCAAGGTGGCTCAAATTAGTTAAGCATAATATACTTCAGGTTCCACAAATCAAAAGATTTCACATATAGCAGAATTTTTTTAGCATAATTATTGTAACTTTAAATACAGTGACACTCCCTTAGTAAATAGTAGCTGTAAATGTCATGTGCATCAAATATCATAACACTAAAATATAAAAGAAATAACAATTTGAGGGATTGATTGACATTTATTTATTTATTTTAGTTAGGGGAAAAAAGACAAATATCACAAGAAAACTCATACAAGCATTAAGTATTACTACAGACGGGTTGTTTTCCCTTACAAAAAGAATTTCTTCCATATATATTAAGCGGTTCAAAAACTATAAAGAATGAGTAAAAAAATTAGCACAGAAGAAGACAAAAAACAAGTGTCAGATACTTTGAGGTGACCAAATCGCTCAGAGGCACATTCAAAAGTCACATATATATAGGTTATTGCAAATACAAAACAGAAATAACTTCTGTTTTGAACTCATTGACCATTCACCCAACAAGATAGAACAGATGGTCTGGAATGAATTGGAAAAACCATGATGAGATGACAGAGAAAGAGACTAAGAGAGAGAGAGAAAGAGAGAAATCAGAGATAATTAAAAAAAAAATCTTCATACCGGAATTATGCACTTCCACTCATCCAATTTACTGAGATTAAGTGAATATAAGTCATCAAGAGTAATTTCTCTATCATTGACTTCCATCATCCCTCCATACAAATAGAGTGTATCCCTACCCACAACCATGCATGAATTAATGCGCCCACAAGGCCGGACTACCTACAAATTCCAGCAATCAGTATTAATCCACATATGAATATTATATCAAATTTCAAATAAGATGCTTAATGACTCACTTCCGATGAAAGGCCTGCTAGCATATCAGAAGCACTAACTAATCCCTGTACTTTCACATCATTTATCTTGCTCGAGGAGGCAGTATCTAGGCAAAGATTGTTATTCGTTTGATGAGAAAGCTCTTCAATTCCAGATTGCATAACAGCTCCTTCAAAGCCTTCGATATTCTCATCCTCTTCATACGTGATACTCAGCTGTGAATCCGGTTGGTTGTCTCTGCTAGAAGCTGCTATTCCTTTAGATCCGTCAAATCTTTTGCTTCCCTTTAATTAATAAAAAAATTAATCTTTAGTTCAACATTTCATGAGCAGGACAAGAAAAAGTTATCTTTGCACCCTATCTTTACAGAGAATGAACATATTTGTATTCTAATAAAATAATAGACATCTGCAATAGTAAGTTAGCGACATCTACAGATTTCATAATCATTAATAGAAAGATGGCTATATTTTGTTTCTAAGATGGCAATAGTTCGATAAAAAATTCATATAACGTTTCTAAGAAATATCTATTTACCATGGGAAAAAAAGATCAATTCCAAAAGTGATACAGAATTTTACTTGCTAATGAGAAAAAGGATTTCCATAACTTGTGAACGCACTTTAGGCACAAGTAAAGGAATAACAATATGACACTTTAAAAATTAGCAATGCATTCATTTTCATTATGATGGCCATCTTTCTTATTTTATTATTTTCATTACATTTTAATAAGCTATTTGGCAATCCACTTACAAGAGTATCAAAGAGAATTCCAGTTTGCTGATCAAAACATAGTTCAGCAAGCTTAAGCTGCAAGTAGACTATAATTAATAATTCTTAAACAGTTCAAGCCTTCAATTACACCAATAGTAATTAATAACTGGTTATCCAACTATTTATAGTCTGTCTTCATAAATCCCCAATCTCCTCCGATAGTATACATATCATATTTTTCATGAATTTAAAAAAAAAATTTGAAGCCTGCATTTTACTGAAAGATAACTTTTAATTAAAAACTTCTAAGGCAATGTCATGTATAAATGCTAAATTAATGTTTGATAACAGGGTACCTTATCTTTTGTAGACCTATCCTTTCGTAGCTCCAAAGGATACCTAGAAGGCAAATGCAACGTACAAGCATTAAGTGTTTACAAATCACTTTAATTTTAATACATGCAAAAAAAAATACAGACATATTACAAAACCTTTTAACTTGAAACAAATAACACGATTCATTTATATGAAGTAAAATAAGTTCCACATGATGTGGAAACCAAGTCACTAACGTCATACCAAGGAACTTTTAAATGTCTTGGGTCAAAGGAACATAGAGTAAAACAAAGTTCCTTCTTGAAGTTTCACGCAAGAACATGTGCAAGCTAATACCAACATGAAAAGCAGCAGCATGCAAATCCACAGAAATTACTTCTGATTTCAAAGGTGGCTCCAGTTGGGGATTCTTTTTTTAATTTAAATAGCTTTGATTTATTTCTACTAGAAAATTTTATTAGTCTATATATACTTCCACACTTAATAGAGAATCAAGTTATAAAATTCCAAATTGCTTTTCAAATTTTATAATTTTCTACATGGTATCAAAGTAAGTTGGCTTTCTTACTTTCAACCTTTGTTCTCTTTCATTTTTGTCGGTATTCTGTCTTCTGTTCATTATATTTGATTTCTTAGAATTCCCTTTTAAAAGTCATATTAAGGGAGAACTCTAGGGGTTACAAGCGTCGTAAGGCTTTGATAGGAGAAACTATCTAAAGTTACAAGCGTCTAAGGCTTTGATAGGAGAAACTATCTGAAGTGATCCTAAATTATGAAAACCTTTATAAAAAAAGAAAAATATCCATAAACTTATGGATCCTCCTCAAAAATCAGGAGAACCAAAGTTTGTACTTTGATCATGGCATGATTGTCGATATCATGACGCTTGAAATCGATGGGTCATATATGTCCCCCTCTACAGCAAAGTTTAGGGCGTCATCAAATAAATGAAGGTCACCAAATAGCAAGGTTGTCTATCTTATGGAATTAGAATTGTTCAGTCTAAAAGAAATTAACAAATTCAAGAACTTTATAAACTCTTTCAAAAAATCATTCGGATCATGCTCTCTTGCTAAGAAAAATGATTTTTAACTCTTATATTTCCAATGCCTTAAATAATTCCTCTCACACCTGGATCATAGATCCAAGAGTTATTGGCCACATGATCAACCTTAATTTTTGTTATAACCTATAAATCTTATCCCAATAATAAAAAACAAAAGTGGTTGATGTTTCTCTAAAAATTGTTAACATGTTTCAATTTTCTTCACATTTACCCTCAGCACTCCATGTTAGTCATCTAAAAGTAAATCTTCTATCAATTCGTAAAATCATTAAATACAATAATTGTAAAGTAACCTTTTGCAAATCATTGTGTATTTCAACGTCTCAATATAGGTAAGATGATTATGCAAGCTAGAGAAAATGATAGACTATATCTTTTGAAGATGAAAAACACTAGTTATGTTCCTTCATTTTTATCCTCAATATAGAATCATTTGTGAACATCATTATAGGTAAGGGCATCCCACTTTCAAAACTTAATAATATATCTTTCCTTCTCTTTTTTTATTGAATGTAAATATGAAATTATTTTTATTATGAGACTAAAATTGTTATATATCATCATGTTGTTTTTACCTGAACTGATTTTAAATCCTTTACTTATTTTCTAATTGTTCGCTTTGATATTTAGCGGCTTCCAAAATCCCCAATATTTATGGATCTATAGGATTTGTCACCTTCATTGATGATCGCACTCAGATGACATAGATATATCTTAAAAAGAAAAACATATCTCAAGATTATTCTCTCCATTTTTATTGTCATGATACAAAAAATAGTTTCATGTTAACATCAAGATAATTCAGACTGATATTGCTTAGCTCAATATTACTTTGATCATAAATTGTTATCTTTTTTTTCCAAAAAGAATGTATTATCCAACAAAATGGAGTGACAAAAAGTAAAATCTTCATCTTCTAGAAAATATTATAACTCTTCTTTGTAAGAATCAAATGCTAGAAAAATACTAGGAAGAGGTAGTCATAACTATAACATATCTAATCAATAAAAAACATTCAATGATGTTTGGCTTCAAAAGTTTTATAAACTATATAGTTGAATTCCTTCAAAAAGAATTGCCTATGTCCACATGCACAAACAACATAAGGATAAACTTGTCCTAGAGCTCTCAAATATCTTTATTGCTTTTTTCCTCCACTAAAATAAAATAAATATTATCATATTATCACCAAAAAATTCTTTACTTCAAAAGATACCACATTTGATGAGAAGCAAAGCTTTTTTTTTTTCAATTAAACACATCTTTATGACGATTGAACTAAATTATAATTTTCACTCATTTGATCATGACTAGCGAAGTCAGTATGAAAATTTGTGAAAAATATGCCAAACTAGATAATCCGCTTCTATTACACCAGATATTTGACAAGAAAGCATCAAAATGAGATATGACATTCACTTCTGTATTGTGGGGTCACTTGAATATCAACATATATACTCAATAGAGTTCCAAATTCTTAAATATCTTGTAAATGGCAACTTAAAGTTTGAAATAAATATCGAGGCTATCATTTTCAGCAATATTGGTCAGATAATCATTCAAATTTTATCCATTGACAGCCATTGTGCTCTAAAAATTAAGCGTGTAAACTTCCTTAATCCAATCATCAGTGCATGTCCGTTCTACATCATATATATATATATATATGTGTGTGTGTGTGTTTGTGTGTGTGTATGTGTGTGTATGTATGTATTTATATGTATGCATATGTATGAATGCATATAATTTTTTTGCAAGGTTTCAAGTACCCTCATATTTTATTAAAATTTCATATTTTCCAAAAGAAATAAGGTTCCAAAACTTGAAAGTCTGACAACAATTGAACTTGGTAAAATATGGAAGAGTATTATACCAACGTCGAGTATCTAACTGAAAGCCATATAACTCGTTCATAAATAAGCTCATCAGCACATCACCTAAACAGACAAGGAAAAAATTCCTATTTAGCCATGCAGGTCTTTGTTCGTCATGCTTACAATTTACAACAATATTCATACCCGTTTAAAAATGTTCAAAGTATAAACTTTTGCCGATAAGAAAAGGAAATAAAGAGCAACTAATACATTTTAGTCTAATACAGTGTGTGCCAAGTATTACACCTTTTGCTCAGAAGCAAAACAAGAAAAAGAAAAACATGAAATTATACATGCGAGCACAATGCCTTCCAAAACAATTTATCATATGAAACAAAGGTAAAAAATGATAACTACGGATGAACTCAGCATTGGAGCTAATCGGCACAACCTTTTTTAGAAATACGGGGAATACCCAATGCAGCAAACTCTTTGAAATATCCAGACTTACCCATGCATAGGAGAAAACTGTTTCAAATTGAAACCCTTGTCCGTAAGGTAATAGTAGAGCAACATAATCATTGCTCCAAGATCCACGCTCTAACCTCTTCTAGGGAGCGAGAGAAAAATAAATGCAGAGAATAATCAAAACGGACATAAAACTATTCATAACATAATAAGACCTACATAAAATCTCTCAAAAAATACCAATCATATTAATCAAATTAAACCTAAGAACATGAGGGCCAAATGCAAATGGAAAACTTTTAATGCAAGCGAATTGGATTCTTTACCTAGCTTAAAGTAATACTTCTTGCTTCTTGGTATCTTTACTTCTAAAAGATTTGGCATATTAGAACTTCGATTTGATCACAAAACTTGTGACGAAAAGTGCATATAGACCTCCTCCATGGCTTTACAGTGTTGGTCAACACATTTATATAGTCGATGGACTAAATTGAGGCAATGTAATACCCTTGGACTAAATTGGCCACACACAGATAGTTTAGGGATAGTTTTGGAATTTTTATGTATGTACATGTGTGTGTATAGTTTATACACTACTTTTATACCAATAAACAGCATATAGCATGTTGTCATATCACACTTATTCATAATGGAATGCATTAATATGCATTATAACATGTTTAAATAGGATGTCACTTGGCATATTAGATATCAAATTCAACTTTGTCTCATATATGGGTCCATCAATACATAAAATATTTTATACAATTGGTAGTTTGGAGTATTCAAATGTTCGAATAGGAGAAAAAAGCCTAAAATAATCCATCGACTCTTCGCATGTATTCAATTTAATTTTAGAGTCTCACATTTCTCCAATTTAGTCTCTAGACTAAGCAAAATTATTCCTAAATGATCCATCAGGTAAAAATTGACATAAATTGGGATATAAAACATGTAAGGCAATTTGGGATCAATTTTGTATAGTTGAGGGACTAAATTAGAGAAATTTAAAACATTGGAACTAAATTGCTCACATATAAATAGTTCAGAGACTATTTTGGGTTTTTATCAAACATGGGTGTGGCTCCACTAAAGATGATTTCTTTCTTCTTTTTTATGAATGATGTGAAAAAATTAACAAATCAAATGTCAGATTGCAATAATAATTAAAATAATTAAGAAATAAATTAAGTGCCTGTCTGAAGAATAAGTTTGACCAACCTTCAACCTCCATATCAACAACTCCTCCAAATAATACAGCCCTCTTTTTATGAATACACATAGAAAAACTAGCACGAAGGCCAGGAGGAATTCCAACTTTCTTGACCTAAAAAACGAAATGCAGTTAGTACTTAGTACACGTCAAAGGAGAGCATTGAATTAATGCAATGTCTAATGACTAGATGAAAGATTGCATGAGAAACAAGCCAAATAAAATGAAAAATGTGAAGTGAAATGTAAAATAGTTGATCTACTATGTCAACAAACAAATAAATAGGTAAAAAGAAAATTACTCTTCAATGAAGCTAGGTAAAAAAAGAGAATTGTAAAACAAACATGCTGTAGCCAAACGTTTTTTAAAAATTCCTATTAGCATACATGGGTTTTATAAATGATAATAAATAAAGGAGTTATAACAAATTGTAGTAAAAATATCTAGGTTTCAAGAAACCCTAGAGCATATATGTACGGGTTTCATAAAATCCATGTATTTATGCTAGGGTATAAAGATAACATGTCCTATATACCCTAATTTTTTAGTCCTACTCGTTATTGGTTAAAAGAAAACTTTCATATGCTGACAGGAATTCTACCAACATTGTCTGCTGATGGAATTCTAACTCTCTTGATGTTCTTTTATCGTGGGTCAGAAAATACTCCATTATCATCCATTTTCACAAGAAACCTAAACATTATGATTTTTCTCTAATAATTGTTCTATGCCCCTTCCAGAGAATATGATAAACTTCTTTTCTAAAACAACTTGTCAACTTAGAATCCAATTGATCTTCTTAGTGGATTCTTCGATGTGAATTAAATGACACATTGAATTGTGATGCAAACGCTAATAGATCTAGACTTCCTCTGATTTTTTGTTGACTTTGTTAACTTCTTCAATTTGATTCACCTTTCCATGGATATACGATCGTTCAATCAGCCCAATAATAAATTTAATAAAATTTGCCAAATTGGATCATTTTCTCATTTCTCCTTTTTGTGATGTTTTTTTTTTCCAGATGACGGACAAAAGGCTATCAGAAAATTCTTCTCACATCATTATCCAGTTATTTTTAATTCCAATCTCACTCCAATGCCCAAGTTTCATATCTAAATATTGTAAAAAAATTTTATCAACAAAAATTAAAGAATATGGTTTCTAATTAGTGGAGTTCCACTACTCATGGGTGGTGCAAAAGGTTACTAATTAAGTTTAAAGTTACTAAACATTGCTTCATAACTAGGAGGAGATAACACATGATCAATCAACAAGACCTTAATCACATGATTGCTAAACTAAATAAAATAGAAGTTAAAGCAGAATCAGGTATTTGCTCCATGGTACATCCAAGATCCTAAAGAATATGATCAACTAATAAAATAGCTATATAACAAACTTAAAGAGGAAGAAATCTATTTTGTAACCAAAGAATAAAAATCAACCAATTTTTAAAATACAATAGAAACACTTTTTTCTTTCATGTAGTTGCCAATAGGAGAACGAAATAAAACTTCATTCAACAAATTCAAATCTACAGAGATATATTATTATTGAACAAAAAGATTTGCTACTTGCTTTTACTGACGTCAAACACCACTTCGAAAGAAATGTTTTGAAAAGATAATCCATTGCTACCTTCAGTCTTAGAGCTTGTAAATCACCACATTAGGATAGCTTCACTTCTAAGCTTTTTTAAGATGAAAGAATGATTTAATGCAAGAAATTATGGGGGGTTTTTTTTTTTTTTTTTTTTTTTTGGGGGGGGGGGTGAGAGGTGGTTAAATAACTTTGATTAGAAGAAAGAATATGCAAAATTTATAGACCCAAATAATAAGCTATTTAATTGACAAATTAATATTATTATTATATCAAAAAATTCTGAATAAATCATATATTTAATAGAGACACTAAATTGAAATGATTAAAATTATGAATTACTCAAAATAATTACAATTTATATAAAGGGGTATAGTTTTTGAAAGGAAATCTAATGGTTATGGGTTTAATCAAATTTAATTTTCTAATAAATGTAATGATATAATAAAATCGATAAATCTATTGTAAATTATTATATTAAAAAAATTATTATTATTATCAATGCTTGTACATCTATTCTATTAATAGATGGCGTGGGATTCAAGCAATACCGTTTAAAGAATTAATGAGAAAGGGCAAACAGGCAAGAGGGAAAAAGAGAGCAAAAATATAAAGCATGTAAGCAAGTGACCGAAGTATAATGAGCAACTAAGTGAGTGGAGTGCATCCAATGAGCAAATGTTCGAGCAAAAGCAAATGCATGAGCAAGCGACAAGCACCACATGAGGATGGGGGTCAAGTAGAGCATAAACACATATGTGACGAACCGTGAAAATGACTAAAAGCAAAATTTCTAAAGTTCTTACTCCTTCCTAAATAAAATCAGTCAAGAAAGACCTAAAATCCTAACCAAATAGTTTCCTTTATTTCCTTGATGAACCCACTGGAAACTCTATATTCAGATCCAACCCCTAGGAATGACAATGGAAAATAAGTTTAGGGAATTTTAGGCTTTTGAAAGTTATAATTTTAGATGACTTCATTTATGATTTATGTATTATGCTAATAAGATCTATATGAGAAATTATCTTGATTTCTAGGTTTTATTTAGGCAACTTGACTAACAGGATGAAAAATGATTAATTAGACCACCAGCGGCCAGCTTCCCACCTAAACAGATAATCAGACCACCAGCTTCCAGCTTCACAGATGATCAGCCAGCCCACCAGCCTTCAGAAGATATGATCAGTTCATCTGCCTGAAGCACATGGATGGTCAGCGTATCAGCTCCAATTATTCTATAGTAAGTTTTCAGCACCTGATTCTCTCTCACAAAAAAAAAATCAAATTTGATTAAAGCAAGCCTTATTTGCATATCCAACCAGTCTAAGTCCAGTAAACATTTCAGGAAAAAAAAAACAATAGGCTTCGAGTATAATTTTTTATAAAAATAAAGTCGCGTATATGCCATTTTTTGTTATGATGGAAGTAAATACTAGTACTTGCAAAAGAATGATAGCTTAATACAAGTTGATCAATGATTAACAATTCAAGTTGTTATATGAAATAAAATAGTCAGCAAATCAATAGCTACTTACTCATAGAGACAAGAACAATAATGGGGACCAAATACACACCACTCAAAATTTACTAGTTATGTCCTTTCCTAGATGACATAACATATTAATAATCATAGGGAATACAATCAAGAACTCAAAGCAAATTGCATACATGACTAAAGCTAAGGTTTATCTAACATTGTGGCACTTAGTCTCCAATGCCACTCCACTTGACATCAGATACTGCACCATAGGACAGTTTTTATGTTCAAAGACAAGATATACTGGGAGGTAAACAAACATGAGCATCAAAAGAAATAAGATTCTGAACAAATTGCTAAATTTTAACTTTGGCAATTAAACATTCCAATAAGATTATAGTAAATTTCTATTAGAAAAAGAACACCAATGACAACTAGTACAAGGATTTCCCAAGCAAAATGACAAGTTCAACAATAATATGCAGCTCCATTTACATCTAAATAAAAAGAGTTCAACCATTGAAAGAGTTCTGAAAAGGTAAAGCATTAAAATGCAAAGAACCTTGCACCATTCCCAGGTTCGGGGATCAAGAGCCCACAAATCTGAATGAACAATCCCTTTCTCTGAGCCAGTTTTATCAGGTGAAACTTCTTTGGAATAACCTCCATAAAGAAATATCTGTCAATATATATAAGGAAATTTTAGTTAATATTTTGAAAAAATATGAAAGTCAAGATTTTATGGCTTCCTAAATTTTAATTTTAATTAAAATTTTAATGACTTAAAAACTTGGATTTATTTATATAAGTATATAATGAAAATAATTTTAGAAATAACAAATAAGAAATTTTAAATTTCAAAATGAAATGAAATAAAATATAGAATATTCAAATGAATATATATAGACTATAAAAGTTATAAATATTAATAATGGAGTTTTATTTTGAAAGTGCAGGAATTAATCAAGAAGAAAAAGCATAGGTTATTAATAAAGAACAAAATTTTGATAAAAAGACTTTGGGGTAGTAAAATAATTAAAAAAATCTTATGTTATATAGGTATCGCGATAGGGAAGGTAACCTTCAAATATTAAGCAAACATCAATTCATCTAAGGTTGAGGTAGTTAATTGTGTTTTCTAGTTTATAGTAATTATTTATATTTCTTTTAGATCCAATACATTTACTTCTACAAACTTCATAAGCATTGAGAATGTTTTGATTTATAACAGACTGTTATTCCAAAATGCTTCAAGTAATTATCTCACTTTTATTTACAAAATTCTCATATTAAAATAAATGTCACCCAATACTTTTCATAGTTGAATATCAAATAATTATTTCAAATTATAACAAGCAAATGACATGATTAAAATAAATGCATGGTGAGAAGAATATAAATGAATATATTATATGAAAGTGAATGCATGTGCATGTTGAAGAAAGCTACTCAACCCATTATGATATAGTTGGGGATGCAACATACCCGCACGCATAAATGAAAATGAAAAATGTACCTGCCATCCGGGTTTAGGTTTAGAAAATTTTATGAGATGGTCTCTCTTTAGTGGTACACGCGTGCATAAATGGAAATGGAAAATGTTATCTATCATCCAATTTTCTAAGTTAGGAGAGTAGATGTATTAGATTTGATCTAGGTAAAGAAAGGTAGAGATAGACCTAAAAAGACTTGTTTAGAAAATATTAGAAATGACCTTTTAATAGATTTACATGAGAATTTGACTCTTAATAGGACACAATAGAGAAAAAGGATTCATGTAGCCGACCCCATGTAGTGGGATAAAGACTTGATATTATTGTTGTTGTTGTTTCTATTTCCACCTTAGTACTCTGAGCTCTCGGGCAAGGTCATGACATAAATACACCAGCACGCATACACCAACATGTGATTTTATTGTCCTACAAAAAGGTTTACCGTAACAAACTAGATGGCATCCTGTTCTGAATATATATATATATATATATATATATATATATATATATATATAACAAGCACTAGATGGTAAATATCCATTACATCCACTTTTGAATGAAGTTTCTTGCTAAAAAATCTTTTAACAATACGATATCAATTTAAAAAAGAAAGGGAGGAGAAATCATTTCATTTAACCTACACTCAAGTCTATTTGGCTCTTTTAGTATCCAACATTAATACAAAAGCCAGTAAATATTCATACAGAAGCCAATAAATATAGAATAACCATATAGCCATTTTAAACAGCACAACCACTATGACTCTATGGTTTCAGGAAATGTATCTGTTTGCTTACTGAAAGATGAAGTAAAAAATGAAAAGCAATTAATATGGTCTTCTAAGAAAATATAAACTTAATTGTTATGGAAGAACATTAAGCAATAACTTTTACGGCGAATGTTCATAACCAAATCTAATATATTAAAAGTATCACCTTGCAACTGTTCCAGGCTTACAGAATTTGGCTGGAAACTTGGAAGGAACCTAGGATGGTTGTTAACACAAGCACAACAATAGAAAGTGACATTTTTAAAGAAATGGCCATAATTATTGCAATTTTGTACAAAATAAGTTAAGTGTTGCAAGATGAGGATGCTTAGGTGGATGAGTGGCTTCATTCTTAGAGACAGAATGCGAAATGAGTATATAAATGATAAGGTTGGAGTCAGCTCCGGTAACAAAAATGATTAGAGAGAGTTGTCTTAAATGGTCTGGTCGCATAAAATGTTGGCCTTCTGATGACCTGGTTAGAAGAGTAGATGTATTAGATTTGGCTAATGTTAGTAAAAGTGGAGGTAGCCTAAAAAGACTTGGTTAGAAAGTATTATAAATGACCTTTTTTTATTAGATTTAAGTGAAAATTTGACTCCTAACAAGACACAATGGAGAAAAAGGATTCATGTAATCCACCACGCGTAGTGGGATAAAGGCTTGATGTTGTTATACCTTTGCAAATGTTGTTAATACTCATTATACTTAACAAAGAATAAAGGGTAAAAGTGGTCAGTCGTGAAATTGGATGAAGATGACACAAGGATCCATAATTATTTAGGAAATTAAGATTCAAATCGTGATTTTAACATAGTTTTATTAGTTGTTTCCAAAATAATACATAACCAACAACCTATTTATCAGAGATATTTACAAAAGATAGTGATCAAGTAAATAAAACGATAAAATGAAGCACCAAGCAAACAAGTAGTGATGTTGAATTTTGGCACAACATTATAATCCTAAGTAATAAAAGAATCCATTACAGGAACCGCTAAAAGATTCTATGATTGAAGATCCAGGTTCACTTTTTTTACCCATATCTAATATCCTAAAAGCTCCTTAACCAATTTTTACTACTAATGTACAAAAACAAGTTAATTTAAAATGAACTTAAAAAGTCCAAGTTGTGAAAGAAAAAAAATGAAATATTTACAATGAAATAAGAAGTAATTACATTGCTTCTGAAAGTAACTCAAAACTTAACCTAGAGAAGCAAATAATTGCTCGCAAGATAAAGTAGGATTATAACGCATTGCTACGTGACTTATGAAAGTTACAGTTCTCTGCCAAGGAAATATCGATTTAGAGTAATAAGATAATGGACTGTTAAATAGGGCTAAACAACTAGCAAGTAATAGGAAAGAAAAATCTGCTCCGCATGAGCTTGCCTCATCTTGGTATACAAAAAGCTGGAAACCGCTCCTAGGGCTCGGCCATAAACATCCAGGTCTCGGTTTTATTTCTTGCCACTGCAAAACATAATGACCAAATCAGATATGCATAAGGAAGCCCAAAATTGCCTCTCACAACAGCTACTATGAACTGCAACATAACAGATATGGTAAATGAAGGAAAAAAAAATCTACATAATGACGAAGCTATGCACATTATCTCTTAGCTAATCAAATGGTTCCCCTCAAGCCACTCAAAAGCTTGAGAATTTGAGGACATAATGATTAGAAAAAATAGTAACTACCACATGTTCGTGAGAAACTAAATGAGCAAGAGAGAAATGTAAATGTTGAGAAGGAGATGAATTCTTGAATGTTGGAAAGTATAAGAAAGGAGATGGAGCAGGATAGTGCAAAGGGAGCAAAAAGATATTGGATTGAATAAAGGTAGTGATAAGGTGACTTCATCGAGCTAATCATCCATGAATAAATTAAAAAACATGGTGTACCTATGCTCCTCAAGTTCGATTAAAGTTTTAAAACAGCTTTTGAGAACAAATTGATGAACTATTACAATGTTTTCCTAAGGAATAGATAATAATTATTGGTCGTAACTTAATGAGCAGGCAGGTTATAATAGGATGGGCTGTGAGTAAATTCATGGTAGATATGTAATAAAAGATACAAATGTGATGCAAGATAATTTCCTAAATGTACGAGGCTTACATGATATAATGTTCAAGTTGAGAGTGATCCACCTAAACAAGAATCTATTGGATTAAGAGAAAACCCTGCTGATAATTGTCTAGATGTCTTGCCAAAGGAGGTTAAAAATTTGCATTTGCAAAGTTCTGATGCGTAGAGGTCAGATTGATGTAAAATAATCCATACTAAGAAAATAAAAACTTTATTCCAGTTCCTAGTCAATGAAGCTGGGATAGAAGTTTCTTTGAAACTAAGAGGTTTCATCCTATAACTTGATTATTTCAGCAAAGCTCAGTAGTATAGAGACCACAACTAGGATTGGTGTCATATGCAAAAGATCTGTAACATGTGTCAAGAATGAAATTGGATCTCAATATACTTGTGAAAATTCCGTTTAGTTAAGATTAAATGGTAAAGACCTGGATGTCCAAGGCTGCTTTAGAGAATATGGCCCTTCAAAAACTTACATTATTAGACATTTCCTAACAAGATGTCTGTAGAAAAAAAAAACACAGCTTCATGAACTATGTAGGCTAAAGTGAAAATTGATTTATATCGGAGAACAGACAAATTTAGGAGCATAATGTCCTAGATATTCAAAGCTTGTTACCCAGGAAATCGATTAAATTGGCTAATACTTAATAATTATTTGTGATATGCATTAGACCAATGTAACAATTGTAATAATGGAAAAGGGAGAGAGGGAGGAATTAGAGAGAGAAAATAAGGCTCACTTTAAATTGGTCTAGATCAAACACGTGCAAGTCATTATAATACCTGCAAAAAGCATAACCATTTTCAAATAATTTCATGCTAAACAAGTGAACTACATATTAAAATATATTTTCAATAATATTAAATATATATTATATGTCTTCAAGATTTTACACATTATTACAACAAAATTGAAGACTATCAAAGTGCCAAACTTGGCAATCTTTTACATTATTTCACCTTAACAAAGTTTGACTAGTATAGTAACACCAAAATTTTACACTATGGAAATATGTTTAAAGAGAGGACTAAAATAAATTCTTTAGAGTGTTTACAAGGAAAAGGATCACGTGTTCTCTCCGTCCCTCCATGGCCAAATGTAAAAGAGAAATGATTTTCAAAATCCCTCTTTGAGGCACTCAATATTTCTTCCCTCCATGGAAAATGATGAAAGAAAGAGGAATGAACAGAATTTCTTTCATCATTGCCATCATCAGCCTTATCCCAACTATTTTGGGATAGCATTATGAATCAGCATTCTTTATTCTTCTCTACAAAAGTGTTGCACGAGATGTTAAAACTATGTTATATAAATTGTTTGCACAACTTTAATTCAAGTAACCTCTGGCTAGTTAATTAATAATCCTTTTACAATTATTTTATATGCGAGTCACACTTGCAACTGTGGGCTCCGAAAATTCGGCCTCGGCCTCCACTCTCTTTTCTTATTCGGCGAGGGAGTTTTAACGAACTAAGTTCCGAGGTAAATTTTGGAAGGCAGATGGGTTTGTAGATAAGACACTACCCAGAGATTTCGCCCTCATTTTGTGAGGACTTTATGATCTGAGTTCTGGTTTCCTATAGGCGCAAGCCCCTATAGTTAATTACCCATCCCATTAACGAGAGAGAACTTTCGATTAAGGCTAGTCGTCAATCAGATACGTATAGAATACGTGTTATCTGGCATATAGTAGCAGCATGGATATGGAATTGGAAAGATTGGATATTGGTAGAATTTGGATTTGAAAATTGGGTTTGGATTTTAGAATTTGGGAAATGTTTGAAAAGTTTGATATTTAAAATAGGAAATTTCACCACCTAGCACTTAAAGCGGATGGTGGGGGAATGGATGATAGACCCGATCAAGATCCTAAGGTTCCGTCGTCCCGGGCCATCGTGGTCCCTGGTCTACTTAGTTAGAGGAGGTAGTCGA